ATAAAATAAAATAGTTACTCAGTAGATAAAATTGCTCCAGAAAAATAAACATTAACTCTTTAATTCTTGCCCCCTTGTATATTGTGTTCCATTCATTCAGTTAAACAACTGTATCTCAAACCTTTATATACTTGTCAGCACATATACCAATTATGGAAGGCTGAGCAGCAAAAATATTGCCACAAGGATTTTTTTATACAATTCTGTGAGACATGATTTTAAGTTCTTTTGAAAGGAAAAAAGCATTTGCTGATGACTTACTAATTCGTATGAATTTTGAATAAGTTAGGAAATGCTTTGATAACTCATCCCGTAAAGAGTTCACACCACGTAGGCATTACAGTATTTCATAGCATAGCACCTTTTGTGTGTGTGTGTGTGTGTGTGTGTATGTATCTATATTTATTTTTTTTTAGCTTTGTATATTAAGTAGCTACAATTGTAGCTTTAAATAACTAGAGACAAAGAAAAAAATGAAGATGAAAGTACTAAACGATCCCTTTGAAACATGTTCTGGTGAGTGGGAAAAATGTCACAAGAAGCATGTATTGGAGATCTGCTGTCATTGCACTATCATTTGAATACAATTTATCTGAGTGCTTCTGCTAACCACAAGGAAATGTGTATATTGACCCCCTATAATTCTGACTATAAACTGAAGAAGTGTACTACTAAGTGTTTACAATGTTTTTTAATTGAAATTTATGTAGGTCAAATGTATGTTACAACTGCATCCTATTTGTATATTATGCCACAATATGGTATGGTGCATAATTTTTTGTATTTAAGTTAAATGATAAATTATGGCTGGTGACTGTAACAGATGATTTTTTTCTTCAGTGCTGTTGTCACCCAGACTTTGGTCAGGAGGAAAATATTTGAAGACAACTTAGTTCCTATTGGACAAATATATTACATGCTTTATTTCTCTGCCCTCAAAAGCACCTGAAAACAAACATCTCAGATGTATTCCTAAAGATGATATCTGAAAAACACCATTTGTAAAATTTGTGACTACTTGTTAATGAAGTAGTAAAATAAGTTTTAACCAATGTAAAAATTGCCAGACTACAAGCATACAGCAGTAGCTTCTCTTCCTTCGTCCCTTGGGAAGTCTTCCCTGACTATTTGAAGAAGACAGCTGAGGTTCTTTTAGACAAAATTTCCCCTTAATACTAAATTAGTTGATGTCAGTAGTTGTTTGCCTGTGCCTATCGCCTTGAAGTAAACTCTGGTACAGATTAAGTATATGATGTGATCCTTCTGTTCAAAGATCAAGAAGAGTACCCAAACATGAAAGTCCTTGGAGACTCAGACTCGTTGACTGTTGGAGTCAGGTCATTCTGAGTAGAACTTTGCATCTCTTGCCTAGCAAGTAATTCCAAATCAGCCACATTCAGTCCTAAGGAGGAAGTTCGGAGCCGTTCACACTGAGGGCAACCATTGCACAGGACTGTATACTTTGAGGAAAGAGAACCTTCACCTTCCTTCTCTCTTCAGACTTCATGTCTGTATTTCTGTTTCTGCCTTATGAAAAGAACCTTCTGATCTCTGAAGGGAAAAAAAAGTCTTCACATACCCATTCCAACTATAATTCTAGGATTGTTTTGTTTTGTTTTATTTCCATCCTGTCCATGCCTTCCCTTTTCTGCACTTCTTGTACAGATTAAAACCAAGTTTGGCTTTAGAGCCAGAGATACCAAGTTCAGGTGCCATTTCTTTTTTTTTTTTTT